TGAGAAGCAAAATAAAAACAAAAAGACACATTACATTTTATAAATGGGCTTACTGAAAGAAAGGACAGCTGCTGTGTTTATATACCACTAGGTATACTTTACGTTTATAATAATCTGAATTGCGAGAAACTGGTGAGTAACAACATACAAAAAGACAGGTTTTGTTTATGCTTAAGTAAGTTTTCTGTTCTAAAAATTAACACCAGTGTTACCAGCCAGGTGACACACATTGATTTGTTAGTGTAGTAGAATCTGAATTTGCTGTTTATGCTCTCGTGATTAGTATGATCGGTGACCGTTAGACAAGTTTGCTTCATCTTTCTGGACTTCTGTTTCTTCACCTAATAAATAAGGTTGTTTTGAAGTATCTCCAAAACAGCCATTTTATTATAGTACATAAAATGTAAGAAACTGAAATATTATTAGCTGTAGTAAAGTGTACTAGGCTTGTGGTAGGAAAAGGAAATGCATGGATGTTGTTTTAACACTGGATAATCTTGATACTTGATCTTTTGTACTAATGTCATAGGTAAACACGCAGACACACACATAACTACAGTAATTGCGAATGAATGTTTTTAAGATAGTAAATCCCTGACATTTTTACAACTTTCAGTTTTTACAGATTTATAGTTTTAGACATAATTTTCTATTGCTTCAGCCATTCGGTTTTCCACATAATTTTCTATTGCTTCAGACATTCAACAATTCTCTCTGATGATGATGTTAAGAGTGTTATGGTTCTTTAACCCAAAATCCTGGGTAGTCAAGGGTTGCACAGAACATTGTGTTTTAACTTTTTTTTTTTTACCAGAACCTATGATTAGTAATACATTTTACATTCAGTAAGCATACATGTAATTTGAACTGAAGTTTCACTTAGTGTTTTACCTTACTATGCGTGAAATTCTTTTCTATTTTTTTTGTTGTTACAAATATTGTTAATTCTATTTCTCTTTTTAAGAAATTGCTGGTCCTTGTTCCCCCGATTGACTTCAGAATTCTTAATGGATTGGAACCTGTAGTTTGAAAAACACTGAACTAAACAGTCAGCACTTACTATAAAGAAATAGATTTTTTTTAGACTTTCTCAAATTATTCTATTAAAAATTTTTTTCCTACTCTCTATTGATCACAGCAGGTGCCAGTTACTTAACAAGAAATCATTAGAGTTCTCTTACTGGTATGTCTGCCAAAGGATGTAGAGGATAGAGAGGAACAACACATAGAAACAAATTTAAGTGGAATGTTTTAATGAGCCTTATAACTCTCTATTTTTAAACACATGTCATTCCCCTTTATTGTTCAGAGTCAAATAGTAATTTTAAGTTTTATATCCTTGAGCTTTTCTTTATTTCCATCATCTTTCCAGGTGTTCCTGTTCTCTTTTATTTTAATAGGTCATACCTTTTATGTAAAGTGGCTTGGTTTCATGCCCAGGCTCTTTTGTTGTATTTTAACAAAGATAGTGAGGAAAGGGAAGAAGCAGGGGCCTCTTGAATTTCTTTATCACCATATAGATCTCTGAATACCATGGTCTTATTGCTGATTACTGTATCCCATTTTCATTAGTGGTGGTTTTGAGTAGGTTGTGTGAGAAACATAGTAGTCCTATGTAGTTGCATATTCTCCTGTATCACTCCATATAAAATGATATAAGGTGAATTTTTTGTTCATTTAATTGCTGTTATTTTGAATTGCTATAGCATTATAGGAAATCATAGAATTTGTGTGTGTATATATATATAAATATATATAAATAAAATAATGTGCTGTTAGAGAATTCGGAAGTGAAGTAGAAAAAAGAGCATTCTTTTGATTTGAATAGATGGGGTTGGAAATAACATTGAAAAGTAAGTTTGTTATGCAAATGGTATATTCAGAAAGGATTCCTTTATAATCTGTTCTAGATAGACAAATGATTGTATTAAAAGTGTTTTGTGTAAATGAAAACTGGATAAAAGCAGGTTATGGAACTGAAGTAATTTTATATAAATATATACATTTTTATATGTAATGAACTAACTTTCACTATGGATGGTGAAAATTCTTTAAAAATTTATTTTAGATGAAGTTAGTATTAGTGTTGAAGATTTTCACTGAAGATCTTTGTGTGTATCTCTTTCAGATATGGAAACAAGTGAAAAAATCCAAGGAAGTGGAATACTTCAACTGTTCGCCAGTCTGTTGATTCCACAGTCTTCCTGCACAGCCAAAGTAGCTAACATCATAGCAGAAATAGCCAAAAATGGTGAGGTTCTCCTCAAGAACTTTTCTGCTGGGAACATCTTCAGTTTTACACCCTACTTGTCAGTATGTTTTATTAATTTATGTTTTAATTTTATAGATTAGAAATTTTTTATTTCTATTTCTCTTTTCTTTGA